GGGAACCGAAACCAATACCAATGGAGTTAAAGATCTGAGCTGCAGCGTTCACCCACACCTGCAACACAGAGGGATGTTCATCCATAACTATTGATCATCACTACCAAACCAATCAACAAAGCCTGCGTCATTATTAACAATATAAATAGTTCGCTGACTATCCACCTACTGTATGTCGGTCAGGTCAGCCAGAACCATTTATGTATTTAATCATTTTTTTATCTCCCCCTCCTGCACTCCTCTTTCTTCTGTCTTACCTCCACTGAGAGCAGCTTGTCCCATTCTGGCACAATGAAGAAGGTTATTCCATCTAATGCGCCAGGAAGCTGTACATTATTGATGAGCAGGGCAATCAAGATTACGTACGGGAACAGGGCCGTGAAGTACACCACCTACCCAAAGAAACAAACAAGGAAAGCGATTCGCCATCAGTCCGTCAATCTCTCACTTTAGCTCAGTTTCTCGCCCACTCCCTCACCTTGCCTGTTGATTTCACCCCCTTGAAGATACAAAGGTAAATGAGGATCCAAGCCAGAATGAGGATGAGGAAAAGCTCCCAGCGCACCCCACCTGCTTCCTCCACTCCATCAGTCTGCTCCAGCATCTTATTTCTTCAAAAAGAGAAGAGAGAAGTCTCCAAGGTGATTCCATTCTGCATTAATCCTGACATACCTCATATCTAGTATGACAAAGCAATGAATCCAATTATTTTGCGATAATTTCCTATGGTGGTCATTGGGCATGGAGGTATTTATATGTGGTGAAGCACAGGGTTCCATTTTGGGCCCATTCATTTTTCTACTGTCTTCTGATTTCTGTGTTGTTTCAATATCTCCACCTTTTATCGCCGACCATTTTTTATCAATAAAACTATTAAGTTGTGCCCTGCAAGTGTCTCTCATCCAGTTAACATCAACAATGGGCTCAAGTTTTTGTACAGTTTGAGGCATTCATGGTCCCTAAAGGATTAATCTTTGATGGTGAACCTCCAGTGAGACCAACAAGTTCCCATTTATGGATTAGGGTGAAACATCATGCAATATGGTGCAAATATCTTGTCTTCATGATCCCTGATCTATCGACAGGTTCAAAACATCTCGATTTGTCCAATACTTCAGACAGTACCCAATATGTTATATAGTCATTGTTGACATATTGATCTATAAGCTTAGACAAATAAACTGTAGTACTCACGTGCATCTGTCAAATCGTATCTCTTATATTCCCAACCTGATGTCATGTGGTCTCACAGTGTATTCAATTGTTTCCTTTGTTTTGCCTTCAATTCTTTATTTGTTTTTCGTGAAGCCCTTTGTAAACGTGATTTGAAATGTGCTTTATAAATAAGGTTTACTATAACTATAAAACATATTGGATTACAGATTTATCCACTAACTGCGATTTAACAAATTCATGAGTAAACCAATTTGAAAACGAGAGGTTTCGCACCACTGTCTCAACAGGAAGCTGTTCACAATGAAAAGTGTGAACATATTTGTAACCACATATTTGTAACCACTACCTTAGAAGGAGAGTGGGATTCTCCCACACAGTGAGGTGTACCTGAAGAACTCCTGGCTGGCTGTGGAGGAGTAGCTGCTGTTGGTGGCATGGTTGGTGCAGTTAGGTGTGTTCCAGGTGTTGTTGCAGCTCTGCCAGGGCAGCGGTTCCTGGAAGGAGCTGAAGAGATAGTAAAGAGCCCAGGTGATGACAACGTTGTAGTAGATGCACATTATGAAGGAGATTGCCACTGTAGCCACACCCACGCCTGGGGACAGACACAAATAATGTTAATATCATGTTTTTCATAGTCAGACAAATAGGCGTGTGTCACCTTTCAGTTATCCTACCTTTCAACAGTGGGCAGACATTAGCCAGAGCATGGACAGGCCCTCTCCTCATGTACTGGCCCACAATCAGCTCCATGTGGAGAAGAGGGATTCCCAACACCACCAGCATGAACAGGTATGGCACCAGAAAGGCACCTGGCAGTAAAACAATGGTCAAATAATATGAGTCAATTATTTCAGACACATTCCCGGCAAAGGAGCTTTTGTTGGTACAGTTTTTATGGCATCCTCTAATGTTTAACTTTTTGAAAGTCAACCTGCTCCCATGATGGGTCATTATTGCTGTTTTACAATTGTGAACCAATGTTCTTCTTCAACCATACGTGCAGACTTTCACTGTTTAGTTTAGGCTTGTAAACACGAATTACACACACTGCAACCATTTCAGAACTCGTGATGAAAATAATTGTTTGAACATTTTTCAACATATGCAGTAGAAACAAATGCAGGGCTCACTAACAGCACATTACGTTAACCTGTGGAGAGTGTGGTCTTGTTTTATAATTCTCACCTCCTCCACTCCTGTAGCAGAGATAAGGGAACCTCCAAACGTTGCCAAGCCCCACAGCAGAGCCAATGCCGGCCAGAGTGAACTCTATCTGCCTGCTCCATGTCGGTCGGCTGAGGTGTTGATCCATGTCTGCTCCCTGTGTCACTACTGTCGCTCATCAACGCTCAAACTGCATGGATGGTTGGCTAGAATTCAAGTAGCCCTGCGTGATATAACCTTCCTTTTTTATTATCCTTAATGATTAGCTTAACAAGACAGCCGTGGCACGGCGGCTCATAAAGGAGGGAAGGTTTGTCTTACTTAACAGGTTTTCACAACAATCATCAGATACGTTGTTTTGGATATGAAATGTATTTTCAAAAGGCAATTTTTATCACAGTTATACAGTATACAGACAGTAGTTAGTATTTATAAGCAGGGATTTCATATTTTCAGATGAGTGTTTTAATCAGTTTAACCTGAAATGAAAAACCATTGAGTTCAAACTCTTTATATCTACATTAAAGCAGGTTCTCATCCACAGAGCTCTGCCCTGTCTCACCGCCATGTTGTCAAAGTGGCCCCAGGACCCTGTGCGAAGCTTGGCCCTGGGGCTGGCTTTTGTCCTTGGGTTTTATCTCCAGTGGAGATAAGAGATCAACTTGTATAAAAGTTCTGCCCACTGACCAATAGTTTTATAAGACATAGTTAAAAACATGTAACTTTCTCTTTTACATAAGTTTATCCTATGAGGTTAAACATTTATTTGGAATGGGGGATAGATAGTTTACAGATTTACCTTGTGTCAGCCACTATCCCCCCCCTAAAAGACATGGCACACAGAAATAGGTCCATATGTTTTTATTGACTAGTAATTGCAATAGTTATCTGTCAGTGCAGACAGTATATTATATTAAACTAAAGCTCATTATGCAGCATGTAATTAAGTGAAATGTGTAATCTCTCATCCAAGAGGCTTCTTCAGTTCAGTTCCACAGGTCTTGTTAGTACAGAACGGATTTATATCTCGTGGCCCAAAGGTATTCATCTCTTTCCCACACGTTAAAATTCAGCTGGATCTCGGAAAGATGTCCTGGGTATGTTGAAATTCTAAAGATCTTCACTGAAGACACAGGGAGGCCGAGCTGTTTTTAAACACTTTAATGATCAGTTTGCAACACGACTGTCCGGAAAGTTCACATAATATGTTATTATCCACATGTGATGGAGTGCAGGTTCCAGGTGGGGTAATCTGATTTAACAGACAACATTCCTGTGGGGATAATATTTACCATTGCTCTTTAAATGTGTAACCATGAAGAAAAAAACATGAATTCATACAGCAGCTTTCTACAGAGCATTTCTCAATCAGCCTTCTTTGTTTGCATTTGTCTTTGCAATTACATTCATGTCTCCGTTGGATATTTATTTATTTCCTGCATCATCCCATATCATTCATAAGAGATCAACATATTTATCATTTATTCTCTTGGCAAATGGGGGGATAAACATTATTAGGTGAACGCCCTCAAAATAAACATTTCACAGTATACACTACTTGCGACTTACAACACAAGTGGCTGCAGGCAGTCATTTATTCAAGGGAAGTCAGCTAACTGGATATAAGATGTATATTCTGCTTACACCAATATCAAAATGCCTTGCAGGGATTTACTGGGTAAGATGGGTGGGTATATTTACTGAATTAAGCTGGAAAGAAACCAGTATGGATCGTTCCTGAAGGAAGCCAGGTCAAAGAGGAAACACAGTCCACCATGAAAAGAGAAGGCTGCAGCGGTGGTGGAGGCAAACACACCTCCAGTACAGCAGTGGGGCTGTGGGATGAGGCAGACATCAGACTGGAGCCTTGTCTGTGCAGGGTGGAAATGTTGAAATCCACTTCCTGTTGTGATGAGTTTTAGTATGAAACATTTGCACCCAATTTCAGGCAACACAAACTTTAAACCAATGTCATCAGCAGCAGTAGAAATGAAGTGTTTCTGAGAGAGCATGTCAGTTATCCAACAGCTGCAGACCAGGTCCACTAAACCATGTACTCAAATCTAAAAGTCAACCAACCAACCCACAGAACATTAAACAACCAACCAACCAGCCATCTTAGCAACTAACCAGCAAAACATCAACCATCCAACTCACGAGCCAACCAACAAAACAACCACCCAACCAACCAACAGAACATTAACCAACCAACCTGCTATCCATCCCACAAGCTAAGTAGTCATACATCCCTTCAGTGTGACTTAAAGATGAAATGATAGTCAAATTCAATGATTCCTCTTTTTGCCAGGGACCCCTTAGAACTCCTCAATACCAGGACCCCACACCACAGAGATCTGACTATTCTACATCACAGCACCCCGTGAGCGTTTCAGTGATAACACGTGGGACACATGCTAATGCTGTCAGGAAAGAGGACTGCATGCGTCAGTGGACATTTAACCAACCACGCCTTATTAATATTATTATGAAAGCTCTGTGGAGGAGGGGGTCTGATCGGCTGGGTTAAGCGGCGGGGAAAACAAAGAAGGATGTTTTAAAATAATACCTTCAAAATAAAATCATTTAAGATCACTTTTAAGCAAAGGAAGCTGTATGTTGAAAGTGCTAAACGGAAGCGGACTGTGGGTCGATTGGCGAACTTGACAAATCAGTCGATTGACTCCATTTTGAAAAAAACCCATCGATAGGGGCGTGGAGCGAGCGAAGAGCGAGCGTTGTGGAGAAAACCCGAGAAATTGAGGATTTTAACTTGAATTGTTTTAGTGTGTGAGGAGTTGGTGTGAATACGAGCTTCTCTCTGTCGGTAAAATGGGAAACTGTCACACCGTTGGACCGAACGAGGCCCTTGTAGTTTCAGGTAACGTTTTTTTTTTCTCTCTCTATACGACGTATTTTAGCTCCGCGGGCCTCTGTCTAATACCTGGAGCTGACGGGGGCTATAACATGGAAAACCCAGAGGAATATTGACAAGATACTCCAGGCCTTTTATTCCAGAAGTATCTCGTGTACAAATGCGTTAAAACAGACGGAATGTACGTGTAATACTACCCAGCCCACTTCAATGTGTGTACGGACACACGCACGCACACGCACGCGCATGTTTCCATGTTTAGACTGTGGATTTGCGTGTTAATGAAAACGTTCGCTCCTTTACACCGAGTTTCTTCTCGGAAGTGTTTTCATTTTAAATCCACCTGTTTCCTCCACTCGCCTACGTTTTCGCCGTGTTGCCATGCCTGTCCTCATCCGTCATGGCTGCTGAGGTTGTGGCTTGATTGGTTTGGTTCCACATCTGTTCCTACGTTGTTTACCCGAGTGTCACACTTGATCATGGAGCTGCTTTCATTTAATTTACTTCAGAACAGACATCAGTGAAATGTTTTCAGCAGCAGAGATGCAGTACATTTTGATGTATGTGTTGTCCCTGTATCTGATCACTGGTGGTGGGATATGATAATTCTATAAAGCTACATGTACATTCTGAAATTACAAGTGTTGCAGACTGTTTGGCACACATATCTCTACCCAGGAATTTTCTTAATCCCAGGGGCCCCTTAAATAAAGAGGCCAGCACCTCCTCTTTTGTGTAAAAGATGTTGGTTCACACAGACTGACATTGGATTTTCATTCAATCAAAATTCTCAAACCTTTTAGAGATCTGTTTTAAAATCTTAGGATCTACTTATTGAGTCGATCATTTCTATGTTATCAGTTGATAGTTAGAGTAAACAGCGTGCTGCTGCTTTCTCCATTGATCTGATATGGAATGACTATTAGGAATACCTTTCCCACTGTTCAAAAAAAGAAGTTGTGTGTCAGTTTCTATATGTGGTTTGGTACTTTATTGCACAAACAATGTAACTGAATCTGTCAGGGTGGTTTCCTGTCTGACCACTTTCGATGTAACACAAAACAGTAACTGCAGTGGGATTTTTCCATTGTGAGCAAATGTCAGTCACCACATAGAAAAACATAGATTGTGACACAATTATCTGTGGAAATGTGAAACAACACCACTTCACCAGTGTGTTGTGTCAGTGTGACTTATCAAGAACCAAGCACTGCATCCTGAAAAGTGATGTTGAAGATGGGATTTCCGCTTGTGTAAACTCTCATTCATTTGCCTGGAGCACCTCCCCCTATCGTGCACTGAATGCCGTCAGGAATCTCAGTTATGCCAGTGGTAGACCAGAGCAACTGGGACTAAAATGGTGTGTGGCTCCATTGCCTACAACTTTAGTTGGCATTGGCATTTGGCAGGTGGGTTGTGAATTTTCATAGTAAAAGCCTGCCCCTCCCTCATTTCGTCATTGAAATACCGATTCTAATATGTCTACATTAGATTATATCATAAGAGAAGGTATCCAATTCCAAAACATATCTTTTAATAGAATACATTCTGATCATGGTCAGTGCCTGGTCCAACTCTCAAGAAGGAAGAGTTAATTAATTAATTAAATTATAGTATAACTATAAAAGTACAAGCTGTATAGCTAATGGATTGATTGTGGTCAGAAAGGGACATTTTGGCTACTTGAAATTTCACTATATTTCCATTTTCTGTCTGTTTTTGATAATATCACTGTTGATGGTAAAATCTTCAGTGTGTCCTGCTGTAATGTTTGGTTATAGGGGAGTATGTGTTAGTGAAGCTAGCCCTGCTCCTCCCCCTCCTGAGTCCGTCAGTTAACATGGGACAGCTGGGAATGTCACACTTAACACTCCAGATCAAACTATCAGAGCAAGGCCACTGAAAGCGGCCGTTATATGTGGCCTAACTTAACATGCATCTCATCTAGAATGATCTGGCATTTATTTTAGAACTGTGGTTATGATCTATAAGAAGTGTTACATTCCTCTAAACCTGCTTGGTTTGAGACATACTGACTGCATGTTACAATTACTTTAACCTGAGCAAGGTTAAACTTGAAATAAGCAATAATTGAGTTAAGACACCTGGAGTATTCTGACCTTAGTCACATTATGTATAAGTTTTAATCGCATTATAATGTTCTGTTGGACTGTTCACAACATTTTGTAATGGTGTGGGGGTTGTGATTATGAATTAATTAAATGATCCATATGTGCAGCAACATTTTGGCTTTGGGCTCTATTATTACATTAAGTATCAACACCCGATAACATTATTGGATCGGATCAGTCCCAACTCTTAGCAGTTTCTCTGCTCAGAAGATAGGAGGAGTGCTGGTTTTTATTTCCTTTTAAACAGGATGTGGTCAACTTCCGTAAAAAACCACTTGCAGAACCTGGAAAGTGGGTCAGGGTCTCGGTGTAGATGTTTCATCATACTCCTACACTACTAGGAGCTTGAAATAAAACATACTGCTTCAATTACAGGACAATGTATCAATGTATTATTATTCCATGCCCTGTGAATATGAATGCATCATGTGTGAATGTGTTAAATTGACTGCATTCTCAATGTTGTTTTCCAGCTGTTAAAAGTCATTTAAGGCTGTGGGCTGATGATGTAGCTTATTGCATTTGGCATTTATTTTATCCAAACTATTAAAAACAGAAGCTATTACAGTTTTTTGAGATTTATCCTGTAGCCCCGTGACATCTCTGCCCTCTGTGTTGTTCTAAAGGTGGCTGCTGTGGCTCAGATCAGAAGACGTATGTCGTTGGAGGCTGGGCATGGGCCTGGTGGCTCATATCTGACATCCAGAGGTAAGATATGTCTGTTCTGGCTTCAGATCATAGATATTGTTAAAATGTCCCTTATGGAGTCTTAAATGGCACAGTGCTCACAATCTCAGTCAGACACCATGTTAACCACAGGTTGGAAATAAATCTCCTACTTTCCACCATTTAGTTACCATGCAGGTGTCTTAACCCAGCATAATATACATAAATATGTATCTTTCCAACAATATGCAAAATATTTCACAGTACTTTGGGTTTTGTTTATTAATCATAATAAAATACTAGGCTGACAATTCAATTTGTGATTTTGCAGAGTCATCTATTCTTCTATTCAAGAGTCTTCTTTTTCTATATGAGTTTTTATTAAGCACCAGCTTTAGGTCATGTCTTAACTCAGCACAAGATATTATATCATTTCATTATTTTTATAGGAGAGCAAATTTAAGATACAGGTGGCTGGTTATGTTCTTTTTTTCTTATTGTCAACAAATCCAATGAAAAGATCAAGCCAACAACAAATTGATCTCTAAAGTACCCCAAACGTGTTTCATAGTCCAAACACATTAAACTTGGACACTATTGCACTTTATGATATCTTCTTTTGTTATAAACATGGCCACTGTAGTTAATATGGAGGCATTCGCATTTACACTGTCCTGGTGCTGTAAATACACAGTTGTGCAGAAAATGATTCCTAACAAATGCACCGTTTCATTTTGTGATCGGATATTTTCTAAAAACAGCTTGGCTTTGATTATTTTAATGTTTGACAGATGTGTAAACACAGCGGCTCCTCACTGTCCTCAGATTTGAAATGCAGCTCTCTCTCAGAGCTCTAAACCAGAAAACAAAACCTTTAGTCTGACTTTATCAAGTCTAAATAAAAAAACAACACAGAACCTACAGGGGCTGCATTTACACTTTTTAACTTCCTTTAAGCCTCAGTGAAGCATTTAAGCTACCCTCTGAAATGTGCTAACTCAGATTTGTGATTCAAGTTGCTGATTGAATTTCAGTGAAATGTGGCCAAATTTATGGGACATGGAACATGAGTGCCTTTAGACGCAATCTCGGATTATTCTGACTAAACGAGCCAAACATAAAATCTGGCATTACATTTTGTACAAATTTGGAGCCCCTACACAAATTCAACCTCACAATTAAGTCCACATAATACATTATAATTTGGATGAAAAATGTCGAAGCGAAAGGTGAAGTGAAAGAAACACTCTCCTAGGAAGGAAGAAGGAAGGGTCCCCCAAAAGTGGACGTAGGAGTAAAGAACTATCAAATGTTTCACATATAAACAATGGATGCATATACATGCCAGGTAATAACTATTTACATGGATTTTTTTCAAGTGTAAATATTTTTCACACAAGCCATAATTGTTTTAGGGCTTTTTTTAAATCTAGCTTTTCTACCAAAACCAACTGAATCATTTAGGAAAATCTTTATGAAAATGAACTGATCCGTGATGATATTCCTTGTCTCTGGAGCTCCTGGTTTTTTATATCATGTTGTTTACTGTTTGCCTGCCTCTTTGTTTCTTCTTTGCTAACTTGCTTTGCTCTGGTGTCAGTCTCACCCTGTCTCAGCACTAGTGTGTCTCCTTCAGGTTACAGTTTTCCCATTAAGCTAGTTTAGTTGCTAGGAAACGTAATGGTAGACCTCAACAACCAAATAAAGTTGATGCATATGTGGATATATAAATCCCCATTTTGAGACAAGCTACCCAGGAATTGTCTATTTTTATTTTGGTCATGTGCAGTTTGATAATTATTTCAGATGCTTTTTTGGATGATAAAAAAAGGAGAGATGCTCTCGCTCCTCCTCAGAGCAATAACCATTCGAGCTAAAATGCCTGTGTGCATAAGCCAGTTGTAGCAGTGCAGCATCATAAAAACAGCAAGAAGGAGCATAGCTTCCCGCTCGTGCTGCAGTAATCATGTTAATGTCCAGGTCTCTGACTCATTGATCCAATTCTTGAGGGAAGAAGGGGGAGGTGGAGCTTTTAACCAGAGAGCCTTCTCTCTAACTGTTGCTGCTCACAGCCTCCCTTATATGACGCTGACTCCAAGACAAGTCAGTTTTTATTATAAAGGGAGAGCTCTGGCTATTTTATCAGCTATGAAACAGAACCTCATATAAACAATCCAGCCAGTCCAATATTGAAGCTGAGGATATATTGTTTGTGAAGCACATTCCTGTGTAATCTCCATACAAATGTAATCTTGGAGAGTCACTGTGGGATCAAGAATCCTGTCAACACTGATGTGAGTTTTAATCTGTGGATCTTGCTCTTTGTCCTACATTATTCAAACATCTATTAACAAGAGGCAAGATTAGCTCAGCTGTAGCTTTGACATCTTTGGTTTTCTAAAACGTGTTGCCAGCAGCATGAAACAGCCTTCAGGGCTCAAGAACCTGTAAAAGCACGAGGTCAGGCTGTGTCCTTCACCCCATATCTCTTTCTTCTTCCTCTTGACCATGGTCACTGACATTCCTAACAGCTGTTGTTCAACTTACTGTTTTGCCTCTGCTATTCCCGCTGCCTTCCTGCCTACGTAGAATGTCTCTGGAGGTTATGACCATCCTCTGTCGCTGTGAGAATATCGAAACCTCGGAGGGTGTTCCCCTGGATGTGACAGGGGTGGCTCAGGTAATGCATTTCAAAAGACCCTGAAAAAAAACAGTGGCTGGTGCTCAGGACCAAAGGAGGATTCAGGAAAATGGTTCAACTAACAAGCTAACACTGTCTGTGTGTTTAGGTTTCTTTTTTCTTCTGCAGTCAAAAGGAGACAATCAGCTGTCACAAACTTGGGCTTCACCATAAAGCTGAACTCTTAGTCACCTATGGCAACGGGGGCATTAAATGAATGCTATCTATATAAATGGCTGTAAAAAAATTTAAGAAACCCAATGCAAAATGCTGATTGCATTTTCTAACAACAACAAAACTCTGACAAAAACCTAAATTCTACACTATTCGTCTTATGGACAGCATCTCATTTTGCTCCGTTGTTAGTGATCTGGAGTCCTTGGGTGAATGGTTTCACTTTGTCCTGTTTTTTTCCTTATGTTCTGGCCCCTCCCTTCATTTGCTTTCCCTCCGAACATGTCAATTTTTATTTTATATTTTTCCACATTCTTCACAGGATAACGCTTGAGATTATGACCCTGCAGCCCAAGTGTGAGGATGTAGAGACAGCGGAGGGTGTAGCTATTACTGTCACTGGGGTGGCTCAGGTAAATCACCACTCTTTTTTGAGAATGCCAGTTCAGACTCCACTAACCCACCCACCCCTTTCCTTTTTCTGGCATTACCCCATGGCATCACAGCAGAGGTGGTACTTCATTCACGGGGCTCAAGTTAAGATGTACACCTGCATTTTTGATAAAGACATGTAGATGTACACACAGACTCTGAAAGGGTTGTTTTCTGCATGACTAATTCTGATATCCCAGCAGAGAAACACCAGTTAAACTTACCTGACCGAGCTGCACTCAGACTAACAGTAGCACTGTGTCAGAAAAACACACACAATCTCATTATTCATGTTATTTTCAGTCGTTGAGTGAACTTTGTCCCAATTTGACAAAAAAGTAGTTCTTTCTAGAGCTGGATTTTTACTTTAGCTTTTACTACTTGATTGTTCAAATCTTAACACCACCAGAATATACTCTGTTCATTTGACAACTTGTAATGTTGAAGAGAAAATCCACCATAAAATAAAATACTACTTTACTTCGTACTTAGAGTAACTCTGCTCACACGTTGAAAGTTAGAAGCATAAATTTAAGCCCTAATGTATTGATTATATTTAAATGTAGCACTTTTCAGTGTTTTTCAGAATTCTTCATATCACGAAAACAAGGATAGCCATAGTCAAGGATAGCATGTCATTACAAGCAACTTAATTTACAGTAGTGAGAAAAAAAGAACCGTAAATATTGTTTGCTAAACAGATCATATGAATGAAGAATATTTATTCAAAGTTTGTGTGGACTTGTCGGACTCTAAAACAGTCATAGCATGGATATCTGCTGTCTTCACCAGAAGCTAAAAATGTTGGCTGTTGCGGACAGAGGCTAATTCATTGTATGACAATAGTTGGCGGCCTCTGAGATTAGCTATATTAAGACTGCTGGTGAACATTGTTGATAGTGAGAAAAATATTCAGCATGTTGAAGAAGTATTCTCAGTAATTTGCTGCTCCTCAACCAGACCTATTTCCACTCTCTGCTCTCAGTGATCGTCACTCTCTATCCCACAGATTGAAAGATAGTAAACATTAATTAGTCAAAGACCTGTGTCAGCTATGAACTGACGAACCTTTCTATCTTCACTTTATAACAACGTCAATGAAAGAAAGTTATCACAAACTACTGTAATTAAAGCAGTTTTACACAACAGTCATGGAAACCCAGTCTGGACTTGAGTCTTAAGGAAATGTGCTCTTGTAAACAAGTGCTGACTGAGTGCTAAACCAATGTAATAAAAAGAAAAATTGCTTTTTATGGTGGATTTTCTCTCTAATAACTTGTAAGATAAAATACCACTACTTTTCTGCATTTCCATTTCAAATGATATCCTGTTGTTATATATTTCCCTTTTTTGTCTGCATGACAGTATTTTGTTTCTGCATTTAAAAACCTGATGCCTCATTATCAGTTCTGTATTTTAGCCACAGTCATGCCAATGTTCCTTTCCTCTGTGTTTTCCTACATGCATGCTGACAATGAGTGCACTGTTTGGAGCTGAACAGCCCCTCACTTTCACACAGTTCACTTCACAGAGAGGCTCACCATGCCTCTGTTTCATTGGTCCAACCTAAGCCACAGTCATTGTGGAGCATGTGTCCCATGGCAACAGGGGTTTTGTATCCATCTTAAATTAAGTGGACACCAAATGTTTAGGATCAGAGGGAGGGATCCAGCAGCAGAATGTTAATTAAGGATATTGTTTTTCCTTTTGTGGCCAATAAATCATATTCTTCAATGTAACTTTGAGAAGGATCTTTTTTTCTTCCAATTTTCAGTAAAATGCCATGAACTGAAGGAAAGTCTGCCGTTAGTTATAGTTTCTGGCCTTTGAGGGACAGCAATAGATGACGAAATAGTTTTTCCTTTTTCAGTTTTTTCTTTAAGAGCTCTGAGTTTTCCAGAGGCAGGAAGTGGTGTCACGAGTTGGATGATGGGGAGCAGGTCAGGAGTGAGGGACAACAAACAACCATAGCACACAAATCCTAATTCCAGCCACAGCACGGCGCCCCCTGCTGTCTGTCTGAGCTGGCCTTTGTGTGGCTGTGTGGCTGAGTTGTAGCATTTTCTCTTTACAAACGTGTTTCATTGGAATGATGTCCACCCTCCCTGACGTTGTGTTGCCCTCATTCCTGGTATGAGTGCATGTTGCAAATTTAAACCATGTGCAGACCTCTCGCCTAAGGACCCAGCTCATTCTCTCTCTTCTTACAGCTCCAGTGGAGTGCATCACCCAAGACCCTCTGTCTCAAACACACTTTGATTTCTTGATTGTTTTTGACCTCTTACTGACTGCCCTTGTGTGTATCTTGTAAACCTTTTGTCATTGCCAGTGATTTATTTCCCTCCTTTAATTCCTTCAAATTTAAATGGTCCTGCTTCTGACTTAATAACAGGAGTGTGCAGTAGATTTTGTTTTGTCACAGTATTGCCATGAATATAGCTTTGATGTCAGACTTCAGTGTACATTTTACTAAAATGTAGAACTTAACAGGAACAATATCCTTGCTTTGCTTATATGCTTTGCTGATTATCTTAAGAAAGTAGTAAATAGTTTTAAAGTCAAATTTACATCTGCATCCACTGATCACCATTGTAAAGATTTATAAGAACAAAGATATTAAAGAAGCACTACCCATAAATAAACTAAAATGAAGTTAAATGTATTTGTAATTTATCTGGCCATGGACACTAAGCTCCATGGTACTATCGGCCAATCCTGTTTCATCAGGGATGCTGTCTATATACAAGATAACGATTACAGTGATCACCGCTGCAGCCCTTCATCTCTAATACCAGCTATGCAACAGGCAGCATCTTAAATAATGTGTTTAGAGTCATGTTTTCTGGATAAGAATTAAAGCAGTTTATCACAGTCTAAGATTATTTTGGCATATCAATAGCAGTGATGCATGCTCCTAAGTGTAAGGCATTTCTTCCTCAAAACAAATAAGGATTTATGCATTTTATCACTAGAGCATTGTAGAGTAATATTCTATATGTGTGTTCCATTATATTTACTTTCAGCTGTTTTCTGTATCTTACTGATGGTGTGTGATAAGTGATAATTTTGTCATGTTATGTGTGCCACACCTGTGCATGCCTGTATTTGTGCTTGTGTTGTGCCTGTGTTTGTGTGTGTGTTCAGCTGATGAACTTTGTTCATGTTGGCACTAGGTGAAGGTGATGACAGAGAACGAACTGCTGGGTTACGCCTGCGAACAGTTCCTGGGGAAGTCAGTCGTGGAGATCAAAAGTGTCATCCTGCAGACCCTTGAGGGTCACCTGCGCGCCATCCTTGGTGGGTAGCCTCTATTAGCTGCATGACCTTGTCTTGTTTGTGTGGTTGTCTACTACTTCTCTACTAAATTGAGTGGAAGGATGCCGATTGGTCAGAGAAGAATTCATTAAGGTTTTGGTGCACATCCAGTACATTTTTTCACTTAAAAAAAAATAATATATATATATTAAATAGTTTTAATAAGTCTGTTAAGTGGACAGAGATAACTATAGGTCTGATCACACCCAAATTGGTCAAATATTTCTCAATAGCTGTGTGCATTCATTCATTCAGTCTCTACTAACACTGCTTGCTCGACACACATTGACATCAGAGCTGGTAAAAAAAATCTATAATGTATGAAAACACTCACTGTAGGCACATTACTTGATTACTTCAACCAAATTATTTAAAGAACATTTGTAAATGAGCGATTCTGTCCTAGGCTTTTTGGTGTGAACAGGGCCTATATGACAATGTCATGGATATGTTGGTCATTTTTCTGTCTTGACATAACACAGGATCACATCCAGTGTGCTCACTTTTACTTTGACTTATTATATGACAGTGATGGGAGAAGGAACAGTTAGGACTGAAAGGCACTAACAAATGTTTCCATCTTTTAGGTACCCTAACTGTTGAGCAAATTTACCAAGACAGAGACAGATTTGCTGCCCTGGTGCGAGAGGTGGCAGCACCTGATGTGGGTCGTATGGGCATCGAGATCCTCAGCTTCACCATCAAGGTATGAGAATTACAAATATAAGGTTTGCGTCATTATATTTTTATCACTGAAATACCTGTTTCCAGTTGCACAATTTGTTTAAATTATAAGAGTTTAAACTATACTGTTTCTCCACATGTAATCCTCTCTCTGACAGGATGTATATGATAAAGTGGAGTACCTGAGCTCCCTGGGTAAAACTCAGACAGCTGCAGTACAGAGGGATGCAGACATCGGAGTGGCTGAGGCAGAGAGAGATGCTGGCATCAGGGTAAGACAGGCTTTAAGAGGAAAGTAAAACTTAAAACAGGAGCAATTAAACAATGTCATTTCTCTCTCTTGCTAAGAGTTAAAAGCTATCTCATTAGCAAACCAACATATTGCTCTGAATCAGTCGCCCTGTCATCACTGTGTGCACACGATCTTTTACAGGAAGCTGAGTGTAAAAAGGAAATGATGGATGTTAAGTTCTTAGCTGACACAAAAATGGCCGACTCCAAGAGAGAGCTGGAAATGCAGAAAGCTTCCTTTAACCAGGAAGTGAACACAAAGGTAATAGATAGGTCTGAATATACTGATATATACTGTCTACATCAAACATGACAGTAGAGTATTGATAAAACCTCCTGCCTCTTCTAGAAAGCAGAGGCTCAGCTTGCATATGAGCTTCAGGCGGCCAAAGAGCAGCAGAAGATCCGTTTGGAGGAGATAGAGATCGAGGTGGTACAGAGGAAGAAGCTGATCACGATTGAGGAGAAGGAGATCGACAGAACTGAGAAGGAGCTCATCGCCACTGTAAAGAGACCTGCTGAGGCTGAAGCCTACAAGATGCAGCAGCTGGCAGAGGGACAGAAGTGAGTGGAGATCCACACAGTTAGCCCAGTTCTGTACACTCCACAGAAAATCACGTGTTCATTTACTCGTAATGTTACATTCTTTTGGGGAAATCCAGTTCAAACCGCTTGGGACAGGCAGCCACTGCAGAGACAACCAGGAAGGAAAACGTAAAACAAAACAAAAAAGAGGATTATGTCCTTGTTTTATAGAATATCTTGCATTTAAAGATACAGTCCTTTCTGCTAATGACAACAACAGAAGGACACATAATTCTAACATGCAGCAATTGACATGCAGTAAGTCTCTTTAATGCTAGACAGCATTTTAAAGGCATTAAAGTTGGAAAATTCTTTTAATTTAAATCGAAACATTTGAAGTTGTTATGGTCAATCATGTATAATTGACCAATGATTTCAAATTAGCACACATCACATATTACAGAACGCAACTGTCTGCCAAAAATAGTAAAGACCAAACATTCCTTATAATGCTTCTGTAACCCTCCTCCAGGATAAAGAAGGTGCTCACGGCGCAGGCTGAGGCTGAGAAGATCCGCTGCATCGGTGAGGCAGAGGCCGCCTCCATTGAAGCGGTGGGAAAAGCAGAGGCTGAGAAGATGAGGCTGAAAGCTGAGGCATATCAGCAGTACGGAGATGCTGCTAAAACTGCTCTGGTCCTCGAGGCTCTGCCCAAGGTCTGTGTTGTACATGTACATGTATTCACCGCTGGCTTTAGAGCGAATGAACAATATGTGGGAAGTTTGGTTTATAACACCACCAGGATTGGTACCAAAGTAATCTATGAACAGCTTATTCTATTATTATACACAAAGTGTAATAAATAATCATAGTTGGTGTAATTTAAACAAGAAATATTGTTTACTATTCTGAAGTGGTATCCATTTTTATTCCCCAACATCAATAAACTACTAAAACACTCACTCAAGTCAATTATGGATCCGCAGCATTAATGAAGCTGTCTCCCGTCCCCTCCCAGTGCATTTCCTAATGTTTCCTTTACATGCTTGGCCTCGTATTTGTATCATTGAAATGAAGTGAACGTCCTCTCTTACAGATGCCATGTGTGTAAATTGTCTCACATTTATGTTCAGCCCTAGCAATGTTATTATGCACACTAGTGAGAGTTACAATCTGTCAGAGAAACATGTCTTTGGTACCAATATATAAGTCGCACTCAGTTACCGTCAGTCCTCAGATGTACGGATGATGTGCAAGTGTTTTGTCAGTGAAATAACAAACATACACGCTGTTGTTTTTCTATCAGATTGCCAGTAAAGTTGCTGCACCTCTTGCTAAGACCAACGAGATAGTCATCTTGAGTGGAGAAGGCAGCCGTGTGACCGGAGAGGTGAACCGTTTATTAGCGGAACTCCCTGTCTCCGTCAACGCCCTCACTGGAGTGGATCTGACTAAGGTGAGATAGAAATTGTTCTTCGCAGTTCGTTAATGTATCTCATCAGACCCCTCTCCCAAGGTTTACATTGACATTTTTTGTTATTAATCTTGACCAAATTTTGTATGTGATACATGTTAATCCTGTGCCATACTTTACTATAGCTATGTAATGAATACTTTTTTTTGTGGGGTCAAAAAAAGTCTGTAATCTGATTTTATTTTAGAACTTAAAATGTAATTTTTCTTTTTTTTTTCTTTAGGAGAATTGTTTTGGTGGCATGTATAGCTTGTAATGTCTCCATGTGGTGTAGTTCTTTCTCAGTGATCCAGATAGTCGCACGCTGTTATAAAACTACAGTCAAAGACCAACATGGATCCCTGTCAGAATTTATCACAGTACACTAGGACTCTGATACCCCTTTATATTAGTTGTACTTAACAAAGTTTTTAAATTTCAGGTCTTAAAAAGTTCTTAAAAGGTTTTAAATTGAACTTGTTGAAAGCTGCTGAAACCCTGATTATAATATATTGCTGTGGTTTATGAATGTGTGACAGCACATGTTCCTCACTCTGTTAAAACTAGCCAATCCCTTTCTCCTCAGATCCCTCTGCTGCAGAAGATGATGACCCCACAGTGCCAATCAGCCATCTAATGAATCAGGCCAGAGACTAATTCCTCAGATCCTTCAACATATATCTGCCTCAAGCATGATAACAGATTTTTTAGTCTTTGACCCACTTATGCAACTGCCTTTGACCAGAACTACTTGACACCAACCAAGACAGTTTATGCGTTTTCAATTTTCTGAAGGAAAATAAGATGGGGCCTTACTTCTAAAGGACCAGACCTGTCGGTTCTCCTGTTGTTTTTAAATTCCAGTTTTTTGACAATTTGATTTTTTTCACACTGCACTAGTTAGCCACGATTATATGCTGCAGTCCCGTTCTGTCCTACCAGTCATCCAAAGCAGAGTTTGTTCTTTTTTAATCTAGTAGTGTTAAATGTCATTTACAGTAGGTGCTGTAAAGAATCTAAACTTAATTCCAGAGAGGCCGAACACCAGCTGTAACACCTGTCAACATTTTGACATTCACACCCATGAGTACGTAGTAGTTTTAACTGTATTATTAGACGATTAAGTACATAAACATCTGCCAAAGTGCTCAGAACCACATCTGAAGTAGTTCTTGCAACAATAGGTGTCTCCAGGACCACAGTTTGCAATGATGAATATTTTACTCCTCTCCTGATTTCTCTCTCTAGTTTGATGTTCGCTCCTTCCCTGTCAGTTATGACACTTTGGGAGCAGAGTCAAGTGTGTGCCAGCTCCTGACTCTTCATCGAACAGTGATTCATCTAGTAGATGAAGTAGTTTGAAGTTGACTGAGCACAGTGTGAAATCTGAACCTTATACTTTTAAAATTGTTTCTTATAGTTTTATAGTTTACCTCTAACTGAAAGTTTTGGATTACCAGACCGCTGTTACATTCAAATTTACAGTAGATCAGAATATCAGATGTATTTGTATGATAATCCTAACCTCGTGGTATGTCGTCATGTTGCCTGTCTCCTCGTTCTGATGTGCAGTGCCTGTTCATCACTTAAGTGCCCAAACCTTTAGGACAGTGGTTTGGCTTTAGTTGGATTGGAGTGTATCCACTGTGTTATAGAGATAGAAGATGTTTAAGTATCGCTCACTGTTCTCATCACATCTGCTTATACTAACAAGTGTTAACTTTTCACCTTTGTTGCGTTTGGACACAAAGGCAGATATACACTAAGCAAACACATAACACAAAGCCATACTTAGAAAGATTAGCCTTAATGGAGACCCTGGATGCCTGCCAGGCTTACTGAACATTTCCCTTTTACCTCAAGTAGCACATGGTAGATGCAGGGTCTGTGCTTTAACTCATTTGTTACTCCTCTCTCACTTTCCTCCCCCTGAAATGCATTGTCAGTCCTACTCACCTGTGGTTGTGTGTTTCTCAGATGTCATTTAAATGAAATTTTACAGACTGTGTACATACTTTGTAGCTTTAAAGAGTAATGCCTACACTAACATTTGCTATGGCAGAATAGTGATAGTGACCTCTGACTCCTGTGGCTTGAAAGTTGTCGCTGTGTTGCATCTGCGACCACATCCCACCTGTGACGTGAAAGCAGCTAGAGCCAGTGAGAAGATGAAGGAGAAGCATGTGATCAGTTGGTAGACACTGTACATAGTGTTTGTTTGAGTGGTCTAGCATATATGGTCGGATCGGTTAGAACAACACCGACTGCATCGTGTAAATTCAAGTGAAGAGTAAACTTTAATTTGCTGGTCATTGAGTCAGCCTCAATCTTAAAACCAGTTTTAATGTTTTGACTTATGAATTTACATGTTCTTACGATCAGATTAAAGTAGGATGACAGTGTTATATGATATTTTGAAATGTGGAATGACAGCGTGCAACAAGTAGCAAGTTTCAGCCTCTAGGTGGCAGCGTCTGAGCAGGATTTGAACCCATTTTATTGAATGAGCCTTTTGTTGTTGCCTGTTACAAACATAACCTACATTATTTTTTTATATCAACCTGATATATGAACACAGTTAGGTTCTGCTACCCCCTTTTTTTAATTTTGCATTTTGCATCTGTTTAATCACATTGTGAATGTTCATTAACCACTTGTCAGAGTCTGTGACCTGTAAATATTTTGAGTTCTGTTTCAGTGACCATAATAAGTTTATTATCAATATCACACCATTCTCTTATTTCCCTGAAATAAACACATAACGTTGAAGTTAAAGCTCATTTTCTAATCTGTTCAGTTCTGCTGCAACTATTTTCTCTGCTCTAAATGTTAGTGAAAACATTGCATGGCTTTTTGAAAACTAAATATATTAATCACTAAGTTTTTTCAGCATAACATGAAACTGCCAGTATTTTTGAAACATGTGATTATTAGAAACTAATATCAGTCATAATTCACTGAAAACCGACACTGTCCTGGTTCCTTTCCACCCTGTGATGGTTCACTGCAGCCTGGCAGAGTCTCCAGTGTTTCACTTCACTAATGCAGCAGTGGTTGAGAGAGACTGACACCAACACCACTTTACAGTCGGCAGCACTGTAGATCATTGACAGATCTCCTCCAGATCCGACACCAACATGAAACCTTCACACACCCAGTTGAAAGGCTGCACCGCTTTCTAGTAGCTCACTTTTATGTAACGATAAAAACACAGTGGCTCATCTGGAATACAAAACCTCAATGTTATATTTTGCAATGTTACTTGAGAGAAGCAGATACACAGTGCCTTTGTTGAATAGTGTGACTGGTACTTAAATGTGCAGTTTGCTCAGTGCGAGATGGGGGATGTTCTATCAGGAATTTACTGCAGGACATAGATTTACTTGTAGAATATGTGAACTTTATACATATATCGTTTTCAACTACGTTTTTCTCTTCTATTGTATTTTCTTTGCTTTAACATTCAGTACAAGGGAACACACACACAGTACATATATATAGTTATTGTTATAGTGATATGATAAATATAAATGTAGCATAAAGTAGCTGTTTCTGTACAATTTGCAGTGTCTAATCAGGATCACAGCAACTTCCTGTTTCTCCAGGTTGCATTGGAGAAGCGAATGTGTTTAAAGACCAAAAGCTCCAGACCTACACCACAACTCTTGTCTGCATCTGTCCACCTGTCATCTCTCATGGAAATAACATGAAGTCTCCATTAAACCTATATTGTGTATTTTTCTTGTAACACTGGCCTTTGTAAAAGTGACCCAGCATGGCTTTTCAGGCATGTGTTCATGTTATTCTGTGTTGTGTGTAGCCCTGTAATAAAACGCTACACCACCTCCTGTCAGCTTCTCTGTCTGTTACACTTCTCGATTAGTAACGCTTGATTCGGTTTCACAAACTGTCTCATCCGCCTCCACATGAGGAGTTCCATCACAATATATATTAGACATGTCAAATTTAATTTATATCAAATGCTTCCTATGCAACGAGTTTAAGAAAACAACATCAAACCCAAATATTTAGGAGATTAATCATATGGGGATGAGCACCATTTTGTGTGTGTGTGTTGGCAACATGACAGGGCTGCAGATGAAGGCAGAGACTCAGAACAGCTGCAGACGTGTCCTCTGGTCGTTGACCTCCACTCGGCTGGAGAGACCCATTATGAGAGGTCAGCGGTCTGCATGCCTGAGAAGTAACTGGTGAAGCAGTGAAAAAAATCTTCTTTGTTTAAATCACAGATACTTCTATAACTAATAATTGTTTCTATGTGAATGAATAACAATCTAAATTTGAGCTGCATCCTCCTGTTATCATCGTGCTATCAGATATTAAGGAGACATATAACAAAACGTCTTCTCAGCTGTAGAAGCAGAACTGTACCTGAATGCATCATTTCTTACTTGTATCATGAGCTGTACAACCTGTGCGTCTGTTTGTTTTCTGTAGACGAGCAGGATCTCAAAGTGTTAGAAAGAGAACACTTGACATATGTCATTACCATATGCCTGTCACCACATGGTCTCTCTTACAGGCCTCCGGTATGTATCATTAGAATTTCATTCACTCTGTCACATGTTTAATGTGTTGATATGACTATTTTTCCAAGTTTCAAACTATTTCCAGTAATATTTTATTTTATCTGCAGTTATTGTAACATTGTATTTTATTGGTGTCTAATTGCAACTTACTGAAATATGCAAACTGTGCTGAATTCTGAATAGTGGGTGTTATTATTCTATAATTTCAACAATACTTTCTGGTGTCTGGTGTATCTCTTGTCTTGAGATGACTGATTCCCAACCCATCTTACTGTGCATGGAGGACATGACTGTACAGAAACTGACCCAGAGACAGTTCATGCTCAAACTGAAGAGTGCGTCAAAGTCATCTCACAAACACTGATACTCAGATACTTCAATACTTCTCTTCTTAATAAAACATAAACCTGATGTGTGGTGTCGGTGCTGTTGTTATTGTTTCTGCCAACTGCTGTGTTGCACATGATGAATTTTCTATCTGTCTGTCTCCATCCATCTATCTATCTATCTATCCATCCATCCATTCTATTATACTCAACATTTTCATGTCATCACACAGAAAAATACCTGGAAACACTGGGATCATGTGTAATCTTTGTTGTTGTCAGAGGTATATGTTGTGTCGTACTGTCACATTATGATGAATATCAACATGATGGATCGTGTGATGGAGTTCCTTGTCTTTTCATTCTGTGAGAATGATGGGAGACATGGGGAAGACACTTTTTTAAATGTTTCTCAGAGGCTTAACATCAAAGTCTCTGTTTGAATCACTTCGTATCGTTTCAAATTCACAAGTTTAATCTTTCCTTTTTCACTGGTGGTTTTCATCAATAGTATTTTTGACAGGGGGCAGACGCGTGTCGCAAACCAGGATGGGACCCAAATGCAGTACAAAAGAGTTCTTTAATTATTCCAACGACTAAGGGCCAGCCGTGGCGGCCGGCGGAAACACAGTCTATTTAATGAGCAGGTTAAGCAGGTAAACAGCAGACCAGAGGATGTGAGCTGGAGAGGTGAAGCTGATCAGGTGGGTCTTTAGGCTGAGCAGGAACAGGCCAAGTGCCAATCAGCCACAGGCAGACGAGGAACAGAACACCGGCAGGCAAACRCGTGGTCGGGGACAGAAGGCTGGTGGATTTACCGGGGCTGAGACGAGAGGCGATGTCGGAGGCAAGTCGGGTCGATACCAGGTAAGCAATCCGGGAACAAGTGCTGGAGAGGCAGGCATGGGAACGAAGACGATCCGGCAAAGAGTGAGTGGAGTGAGGCTGCTGAAATACTGGCTTGATGGGAGATGGTGAGCAGGTGAGATCAGCAGGTGAAAGCTGTTAGACTGATGAGGGGTGTGGCTGAGCAGCAGGGGAGGAGCAGAGCAGACTGTGACAACGCGGGAGTTTTTGTTTTCCATCATCTGTACTGAGAGGATCAGGCACATTTAGGGAACTGATATCAATGACTGTGATGTTTGGTGCAGCTCGATTGAATTAAAGGTGACTGTTGGGCCTTAACTGTTTTTGAACTAGAGACTCAGCAGTTAAATCCAAGGGGTCATGAGGTGATGATGCCTGTGGTGAGATAAACATATGTATGGAAATGAGATATGAAGTGGCATTACATGTAAATACTCACACACTTAACTACAAGTAAATGTACTGTATTTACATTCCAGCTCTGCTGATCCTCCACACAGTGTGGTATGATTCAATTACTACAAACATTTCTTCTCCATGAATAAAAAAAACAAGTCTGAAATAAGTGATTTCAACTGCCATGCTGCTCATGTCCCAGAGGTTTTGTATTTAACATCCTGGTGAATACATGTACGCAACATTTAGAGACATGGCAGCTGTTGTGCCGGTTAAACCAAACTTATGTGCAGCCATGTTTGTAGTCCTCCCACAGGACACAATCTCCCTTCTAATAGGAGCAAGAATTTTCATATACTTCTACAACAGTGGCATGAACTATGCAATCAGTTAATGGCAGATGAATGAACAGAAAAAAGTTTGACTAGAAGAGGAATGATGTCTTTTACACCTGATGCTCAGAGGAAGATCATAATGTCTATTAATTAGTCGGATCAAATATATTTATACATTATTGTAATGCTCTGAAACACTGGTGTATAAGAAAACCCACAAACTACTACAAACACTTGAATCAAACCCCAACAAGTTCCCCTGATTACTGTCAACAAAACGTTGTAGCACGAAGCCTGGGAGGCTCTTTGTCTCCATCAGCTCAAATAACAAATACAAGTGTTTTATATTATAGGACAAGATGTTGAATATCCCTTGTGCGTTTTGATGAAGGTTTTCTGCAAAATTTAACTTACTAACTACCAGTAGATGTTAGCAGGTGTTAGTGGTCACCAGTGGATGTTAGGGACATAACTTCAGTTGTGCAGCTTAGTGTCATAAAGTGTTTTGACCTTGTAATCAATGATAAAGGCCGAACTTGAGGGTACACTGAGGCTAAAGGTAAATCTGACTGCCTACTGGCTTGTATGGCAGTACTATGAAAGTACTATGAAAGCCTTGTGGCTCACTCAGTAGATCAGACATCATTACGTCTATGCCTTTTTAAACTAAACACTGTCCCCTTTAAGAACATAGGACAAGATGGAGAATTTCCCTTGTACTTTCTACCACACTCATTAATGCCAACTGCCAGTTGATGTTATCGGATGTTAGTGACCACCAGCAGATGTTAGGGACATATCTTCAGTTGTGTACTTTAGTGTCATCAGTTGTTTTAATCACAAGACACCCTTTTCTAAGGCCGGCCCACCACAGGTTGATCAGGCCTGGGTGCATGTTCCTAACATCTTGGGGCCTATTTGGGATCTTTCCTCCTGATCCAGAGCCAGTGGCTGCAGCGTTCTGTGTTGTGTGGCTTGTCCATGGATCTCCAGATCTTTGAGGAACCTGATGGTGGATGTTGCAATTGAAACCCCTGCAGCCAACCTCCACAGGGCAAACTATTGCTTTCCAGCCACGTTGCTCTTCTTCAAATGCCATGTCTGTGTACTGCAGCCTATTCCTCTCATTCGCTTCATCAACATTATCCTCCCAGGATGCTGTCAATTCTTATAAATAGACAACACGCACGGTGTTGGACCCATTAGGTCTGGTCTTAGGGTGGTAGTGACAATATGTGATGGGACTGTAAGCTGCTGGCCCACGTCCACCAACATCTCTCGGGCTTGCTCCAACTGACCACTCCTGGTCAGTGGAGGAGGCCCTCTCCTTCCTTTAAACTGCATTTGATGTTTTGGATTGCAAAGCATTGGTTGCAGTTCTCTTTGTTTCTATTGTTGATGCAGGAAATTGGAGTTCCTGGTTGTGTCTCCCTGTATACCTACCTTAGGAGAGACTTACAACCAGTAAGGATGTGCCTGAGGGAGCTGGATTTGTGCACAGTGGGCAGGATGGATCTTCGTTCAACCACTGCTGTAGGTTTTTGGTTGAGGGAAGGTTGTCACAGGTTGCTCTAAGCAGGAACCTAATCCTGCTTGCTCCCATTCCCCACAGGTCCTTCCAGCTGATCTTTCTTTTCTCTATGCGCTCCCATTTCAATCACTGCCCCTGTTTGGTTTGAGTTACAGTCTTTGCACATCTTGCTGCCTGTTCCTGACGCTGGATTTCCAGGGGTCTACTCTGACCTAGGCCCAAACCTCCTCTTCCCTTTTGAACGTGGCCCACAATGTCAGCGTGCTCGAGTGCTGCTTTTGCTTGTTGCGTTGCGTCTTTAGGTGTCTTCCTGTTGTCAGTGAGGGTCCAACAGCCCGTATAGATTTGTCTCTGGACTCGAGGTTCACCTCCAGCCTTGTTTTGGTGCATTTAAACATCCTAGAGACTTGAGCAGCTGGAGGATGCTGTGTCCATACAGGCTGATGTTGCTCAGACATCTTGGGACTCCTAACCACTTTCTCACATAAGAGTTGATAGTTCTCTCCATGTTCTCAACTTTTGTGTGACTTTTACGTTAACTACTGTAAGTGGCCACATCAGTCTGGGTAAAAGGCCAAACTGTTAGTCTGTAAAAAACTTATCTTTGAATGCAAGTGGAAATTTTTTGAAGAAGCTGAATCATTTGTGCAGGAGATAAAAAGTTGGAGGGAAACCAAACCACCCAGATAGTCCCACCTCCATCCTTATCTGTGTCTACAGGACGTCTCACACCCAACCAGACCCCACACCCTGACCAGGGAGTGGGTCACCATGGCAACTGCAGTGTCCCACCTATCCCGGGCCCTCCTGAAGAACATGTCATAGTTCACGTAACAACATCCATTCATTAAGATAGACACTGTGAGGAAGGAAAATATTAAAATAGTGTAGTTAAAATGAAATTTTATATGTTAAACTCTTCCTTCATACATGTTCAAATATGATAAATAAACTTGTCAATATAGTGAACTGTCAATATTTCTATTATAATGGCTTTGATCTGTGTATTCTTGAGGACACCAGAATTAAATTGCTGCTCAACATACTTTTAAAATAAATTTTAGGGTTTAAATTTAGTGAATCCAGTTCTAATAATACAATGTAAGACTCTTCATAGAGTCTGTTCTTAATGGATGAAGACAAACCCTCAGGGATTGAAAAGACAAACCACAGCCTCTAACCTGCTTTATCACAGCCCAGCTGTAATTGGACATGCAGTGTTTCTGTATGTTTGATATATATAATAAAAAAGTAGATCCCTCCTCCGCATTGAATCTGTCTCTGCGTATGAGAAAAACCCGAAATCCTCATAATGTAATATGTCAGATAACATGTCATCAGCTGACATATTGCAGTATTAAATTCCAATCCATGAAAGCTTTGTGCATAAATCCAAGAGGATGTGACATTCAGAGGAAGGCGAACGTTCGATTTATGATGACGGTGTGAGATAGAGCTCTGAGCGTTTTTTAATAGACAGGAGAGAAGACATGTTTTGGTTTACTGCTGTTCTTTTAAATACTGTGAGACAGAGAAAGGTCAAAAGTCTCAACAGAAGTGTGTGAAGTGGCTTTGGACAAGAAGAATTGGGGTAAATAAGAAACTAGAAAAACCCTCACGTAGCCACTGCTTAGTCGATTTAAGTGGAAAAAGATATAGACCACTGTAAATGAAATATCAGTTTACTTTTCCAATGATATTCACAAATACTAATATGACTGATTGATAATACTATTAATAAAAAGATGTATCTGCTCAGGCTGTTGCTGTAGTCTCATATAACAGTTTAAAGAATATGCTGTGAGTCCAGCTGGGTGTAATATGGGTGTGGACCATCAGTGGACAGCGGCAGTCAGGTTTGGACCAGATAAGAGAAAAAGTTCAACCCGTGATGTCTGGTCCACCCCAGATGTCATCGGGGCTCATTAGCATAATGTGATGACATCTGGCGTGGACCTTTAAGTGCAGGGGCCCGGCACCGCAGACAAACAGTCAGGAGACCGTGAACCTGACGTGTGGCAGCTTTAGAACACGAGGAGGAAAGTGTCAGCAAGCAACAGAAGATGCAACAAAATGTGAGTATACAACAGAGAGGATGCTGAGGCTGTTTAATCAGACACCTTATTTAAAATAGTGGTTTCGTTCAGTATTTAAATACATGCTAAGTTCATTAAAAAGCATCAAATATTTTTAACATATTATTTCCATCGATTGACCTTCTCCTCCTTCATCTTACAGACTGCAACAACATGTTCCTAACACTTCTGTCTTGTTCCCTGGACAGGATATCATCTTATACTGTAAGTTTATTATAGAGACACTACAGTATAGATGATGTACTATCCAGGGTTTCATTCCCGCTCTGGATCCTATCAGCACACACTCAGGCTCAACTGACTGCAGGCTGCGTCCCGCTACAGAGGAGGGCCGTCAAACCGTTACCATTACTGAGTTTAAGTAATGGTAAGGGTTCTATGGCCCTCGCTCATTGTCATCAGGACCAAGCAGGAGGAGACTGTGATCGACGTGTTATTAATGAGCTTCTGATGCCATTCTTAGACGTACTTGTGGATGCATGTGAAATAAAGATTATGCGTCACCTCTTTGTTTTCTTTGTCACATCTAAAGCAGGGTATCAGCATTCTACACATCTTGTGTTCGTAGATTTGCTTTAATGTGCCAGCTAAATCAGTCATGATGTTTCAAGCAGCAGTTGGGTTGTTCTGCGCTCTCTGCTGCGCGCCCGGCTTGTCTAATCACTGGGAAGCAGCCATTGCAGAAAGAGCTAGAGGGGTCGACACAGCTTCTGTGAGACATTGAAGGCCTCTCCCTCCCCTCCTCCCATCGCCCTCGCTTTAGGCCACTGGCTGGTTATTCATCAAGATGCCCCGGATAGCGTAACTGTCGAGTTAACTCAGAGGCAGCAGGAATGAATCTAATCACCATTATCTGACCCATTTTAGCATCAGGTTAGTGCTCCATTTTGCCATCCATTAGGGAGACAATTCAACCCTCAGGGGGAGTGCTGGGCTTTATAAGAGCCAAAAAAAATCAGGGGGAGGGAGAGGGGGCAGGGAGGAAAAAAAGAAAGAAGCAGCAGAACAAAAAGTGATAGTCAGGGGGATGGATGGCCACACTTCAAAGCCAAGTGGAGAGGGCTAAAGTAATGTGGGAGTGTGGGGAACAGGGGTGGATTGTACATCAGGGACATCTGAGTGAACACTAACTGGGCAGGTCACACTTCAGTTTATCTACAGGCCGTGTTTGCACGTGGCGCCCGCCAAGTAAAGAGCTCTGAGAGCCAAAGATAAACCATCAGCCTTTTCACACCTCGCCAAATCTGCTCAGTCGTAAACGCACCGCCAAACTTGAGTCAAAACATCCATTTGATGAGAGTCTTCGTCGTGTTTTTTACCTAAAATATATCAGCAATAAATAACTGTCTATACTTCATCGCACTCTGCTTTGTCGCTTGCGTTAGCTGCTTTTTATTAACATGTTTTCTCCATTTCCCTGATGCATCTCATTCTTGCACAGAGAGTGGGTGGCCTGAAGGTCTCTAAAATGGCGCCGGTTGGGGACATTTGTCACATGTCACCTCCCATCTCTCTTTCCCTTTATCTTCAACTGTCAGCTAACATTCAAAAGCATAAAATAACCCGCAGAAAATCACACAAAAAATTAACTAAGGTTTATTTTACAACAGTTTAATCACATTTTCTACCACTGTTTATCTGATCTTAAATAAATAGGACTTATACTTCTGCCTGATAGAATGCTGCTGATGCAAAGGTCAAACTTATATGTCAAACTTATTATTTTGATAAACTTATTTCTTTTCCTTAAAGAGTCAGTGGCAGCTCTGGGCTTATGGATACAGTTTTTGCTGTCTCATAACTCCACCTCAGACTTAAGACAGGATCTTATCCTTCGTTTGACTCTTAAGGTCTGTCCTTTGTGGAGAAATCCAGCGGGATCCGTCTCCACCTCTTCATCTCTTTAAGATTTCCCCGCTTAAAGACACTTCCATCCTCTTCACTTGATCAGCTTGACCGAGAGCTTTAGCTTCACTTCCCTCAGGTAGACCCGGCTCAGGTCCTCGCCTGCCTCTCGGGCAATCTGCGCTACCATCTGGCCAGCTGTGCCGATCACCATCGGCTACAGACACAAGACACAGAGCACCGGTGAATAGACAGAGCCATTGGTTGTATTTTTACTGCAGGAAGAACATTTGGAACATTTGAAAGACATATTTTCAGTTAAGTTTCTATCTTAGTTTAAGATAATGTAATGCATCCATATTAAAGGATGATGTCAACTACAGTATATGGTCAAATACAACTGTGAAATATTTCTTAACTGTATTCATCCAAACTGCAATCAAAGATTTAAACATTGTAAAGAGAATGTTACACTCAAATTTTCATTTTCGTTTTCAATCTCCTCAAAGAAAATTGAACACATATCTTTGCACAAGGAACTATTGATGGAGCAGATGATATTTGATTCCTGTGGCCGGTAATCCGCCTGACTTCTGAAACTGTTTACACCTCTGGATATATTCCTTGGCTGAGTGAAAAAGCTGAAGAATGATGCAGGCGTGACTCACTCACTTTCAGAGGTCACTGGCCTTGAAATATTTCAGTGGCACAGATGTAGCCTCAAATATTCTTTGTCATCAAATATGTATGGTTTAGAAAAGCTGCTCAAATATTTACTAGTTAAAAACACAAAGAAAGAGGAACCTCAAGGTATGTGGGGGTGGGGGGGAATAAATACCAGAAGCTGTACATTTTTTCCCCTCTTATACTCTTGAATTAGTTTGACAGCAATATTTTTGATGGCTTGTACCTCGAACAACAAGTTTATGTTTTCATTGGCTGTTTTGCTGTATGTAAACAAGATTACAAAACCTACTCTATTGATTTTCTTGAAACTTCCTGGAAGGATGAGGTATAGGCCAAGGAAGAAACGTTTACATTTTGACACAGATCCAGACCAACGGATGGATCCAGAATTTGTTTTCATTTTCTTTAACATTGTGAGAGAGAGCTTCTTTTTCTTTTTTTACATTTTCAGTAATTTCCCATAATTCATGGATCTTGATGAAAGAATCAGGCACATTTAGGGAACTGGTCGATGAGTGTCTGCAATTTGTTGCAGCTTGATTGAATTTAAGGGGACTGTTGAGCTTTGACAGAGGTATGAGCTCTACTGAGCATACTCATTCTGGTTTGTGCTGCATTCACAGTACATCTGATGTGAACAAAAGAACGTCTAAAGAGAAGCAAACGTTATTTGTTAGTTGAGACTTTGATAAAGAAGGGGCTACATGGAAACTTTTGCAGCATTTGACATTGGCGATCAGGCAAATGGATTTATTTGAATTTTAATCATTGATTTTGGATGTGAACAATTAAGTCTTTCTGTCGTTCCAATACGACAAAAATGCTTAAGTTACTCCCATAAAAAACTACAATTACCACTCTGGGGTTGTATGCTTCCGCCAACCAGTGCAGTTTCAGTTTAATTACAGGTTTTTTTCCAGACTGATGGAAATCTAAAGTGAAATTCCCAAAAGTCAGATTTGAGATGACATGTTTAAGAGGCTGAAATGAAAATGTTTTGACCTTGAGCTTGACAATTTAAAACTAATGTCAAATTTGCCAAATTTGAAAGGATTCTCCCGAGGAGCTCTTAAGATAACACATTCACCAGGCAAAAAATCTGGTTTGTCAGTTCACAGCTGCCTTGACCCTTGACCTCTAAAATCCAATACATTTGTACGACAAAACGTTTGTATCAAATTTGAAAAAAATCCTCTCACGGTGTTCTTGAAGACTGGAGCAGACAAAAAAAAGAGGAAAAACTGCTTTCAGACATGCACTGAACTTCGGAGGACCAATGGGAGAATGCACTGGCCACTGACCAACAATAACATATTACATGGGCGTGATAAAACAGAGTAATTGCACTTACCATGTGAGTTTCTTTCTTGGCATAAAGTTTCACTGAAATATCGAGTTCACCATTTTCTCCATCTTGCCAGAGCTCAACAGCCTGAAAACAGAAACATCCCAATATTAGCAATGTATAGGTTTCTCTGGTTTCATAAGGGCACTGTTGGGCCGTTGCAGAGATACGCACACTCTGCATAGTTTCATTTAAATTTTTGTTTATTTGTCAGAAAACAGTCTGACTTGGTGGTGTAGTGCAGGAGTGCAAGCTAGCAGCAGCAATAAATACTAAATACACACCAACACGATAAGCAACATCATTGACAAAATGACCATAGCGCATATGTGAAGCAGGAGAGAAGCAGGTGGGGGTTGGGTTGAATAGCTGCATCAATGCTCATGTCAGAATGGAGAGTTAAAGTGAGTATGAAGGGCTTTAAATAGGCCTCAGAATCTGTGCAGTGGGATGTAATAGGTGTTGTCGTTTTGCTGTCAGCTTATTATCACATGTGCTGTGGAGTGTCCCTGCAGAATTAGACACCTGTGTCATTGAATAAGGCACTTCCTGAGGCAGATACTCCAGAAGCTTCTCTCTGATGATGTTGGTGCAAACTTCCTCAGGACTCTGATCCGTCAGGACCTCACTGTGGTACTGCCACGACCCTGGCTTGGCGGTGACCATGAGGTAGCTCTAAAAGGATGAAATAAAAGCCCGGCAGACATTAAACTACAACAAAATTAACTTAGCTTTAAATTACCATAATATTTCAAAATTGTATTCTCAAAAAAAAAAAGACAGAGAACTTTCAGTGCACATTATATTTTTTTTAGATGTGTGGAAATGTTGAAGAGGAGAATAATCAGTAACATAAATAGTAAACCATCTTTAGGTTTTACATACTGGTATTTCACTGCTACAGCTTTTAGTTACAATGTTGTCTCTGTAACATGTTAAGTCTGAAAACTGAGACAAGAGATGTCCTTCCTTTCCCCTTTTTAACATGAATTTTGTACATTTGCTATAGGTTTGTATGCTTACTGTGTATCCAATATAATCTAGCGCAGAGGTGGCGAGCATAACACCCAGTGCATTGCAAATTTCACATCAAATGCACTGCGTCAAATGCCCCAGTCACAATGCCCAAGGGTCTTGACGCATATTTGAGTCTAGACGTGTCTTTGCATTGACTTTGTTTGTAATCTTGACGCACGAGACGACATGCTCAGAGCCTTGCATTTCTGTTTGGGACGACTGACCGCTGTGAGCACTGATCTGATTCTTTGAAAAAACTCAATTCTGACTCTCCCAAACCTGAAAAGCCCTGCTGCAAGTAATATCATCCTCACTTCCATCTGACATCAGACAAATAGCCAAAGAGAAGCAGTGCCAGCCACATGATAATCATTTATTATGGCAGCGAAGGATGTTATATAGGCTCCACACCCCTGATCCAATGTGTACCTTCAGTGTCTCCACATCCTCTTTGTCCACAGAGGACAGCATGAAGACATCTTTGAAGTGAGGCCAGCCCTGCTGGCTCCTCAGCGCCTTGAGCTGCTCTTTGTTCAGTGCAGAGTTTGGCTCACTGCTATCCTCGGGCCCTGCGTTGTCCGCGTCAAGGGACAACTCTGAATCCCTCGCTGGCCTCTTTTCAGCCCATGGAGGCTTGATCACTGGCCTGACCCGCATTCTGCGTCCATTCACCATTCCACATGTCAACTCTGCTGTGGTCTCCAGCAGCTTGTCCTTAGCTTTCACCAGGTCCACCTTACAGAGAGAAGAGTATTAGTGAAGACCTCTATAAGAAAAGTTCCTGTGAGATGTCATATGAAAGTCTGGTTAGACTATTTTCATCACAAAATAACTGTATATGTAGCCGAGAATAATAAAATAATAATAATAAAAATGTAAAAAATCAGATGAAAGTTTTAGTGTCTGTAGATGTAAAAGCTGCTGATGACAGTGTGAGGCCAGAATACCTTATTGAGGACCAGGATAGCTGGGATGTTTGGGTGCTGGGCCAGACATTTGAGCACCTCAAAGTCAAGTCTCCTGCACGTCCATTTGTCTGCCACATCCACCACCACGACCACTGGAAAAGTTCCCATTATAAACCTTTGAAACTAAGCACTATGTTCCACTTTGTGTTTAATCCATGACACAAAAGCACAAGTCAACAAAAAAATGGCTGAGCATAAGAAAATTAAATACCTAGGTCAGCTTCTTTGACTGTATTCCAGGGATCCACAAGCAAAGACTTCTCCAGCTGATGTCTGTGGACACAGAGGGTTGATTCATCCGTTAAACTGTACGATTATACTCTATGGAGACTAGAATGGTGACAAATCTAATAAATCACCTTTTAACCTTTGATGGAGTGGTGAGACCAGGAGTGTCCAGTAAAATCTATAAAAAAATAACATACATATGTACTGACTGAAGCATTTGGCTTTCAAATGGCATTAAAAGGCATCAGAAGAGGTGGAAAAAGCTCTTACTATCTGTGTATCATCCTCTGTTAGGACGCCCAGGGAACGTGACCGCGTTGTGTGTACTTTTTTGGACACAGCAAACACCTTGAAGAAATGAACACTGCATTTAACAAAGCAAACACCTCCTCCTCCCCCTCAGTGGGACAGCTACATTAGACAGTGGAAGATTACAACAGAGGCAGTTAAGACAGATACCTTTCTGCCAAGGAGCTGGTTGGACAACGTGGACTTCCCAGCATTCGGGGCACCTAATATCGCCACTTTCAAAACCTTTGAGTTGTCAGGCTGATCTGGATGTCTCAGCAACAAAGACAGTTGTTCACCTGGAAAAAACCAAGTCGAATTAATCATTAGACGGGCAGTAAAAGTGAATGTGGCTGCAGTAAAAACAGGAATGAGAGTGGTGGAAGGATGACGTCAGCACTATTTGAGCCAGAATGATTAGATGAGTTGATGGATGTAAATCTCTGAGGTAGTGGTCTGGTTACCACTGTCCGGCGGAACTGAGGCTGGGAGGCGATAAAAGCTGCCATCTGCTTCTGCTGCTTTGCCTTTCATCAGTCTATTGAGAAACGCCTCTGATGTAATAAAACAGGCAGGCGTGAAGATAAATCCATTCCTCCCTCCTCTGCGGCAGGCGGCATTTCCTGTAAAGACATCGACATATCCATCACTTCACTGCCAGCAGGGCTGCCAGGTAACTGACTGATTGTGTTTACCTGAATGTTTAACTGACACAGTATTATTATGCATTCATAAGCTCTCTGCCAAGAGTGTATATCATGCCATAAAATTTATAACAGAAACACCTTCTTCCAACTAAGTATTTGGGTGTTTGTGCACACAGAGCTGCCTTTGGAAATCACATTAAATGTGCTATAAATAATTCATAATTTTAATAGTACACCTTAAAGGTACCCTGTGGAGTTTTAGTCCACTGGTAGGGCTACAGAGCGATGTTTTCACAAGTGGGCCCCTGTTTTGTAAGTACTGTGGAAGACAATGTTGCAGTATAATTCCTTCTGTCCAGTTGGTTTTACACTTTACTGCAGTTGAATAGTAAGTTGTGGTGACATGCCAACAAAGACAGGAAAGAAAACGACTGCAAACATGTAAACAACTCATGACTTGCATATGTCAATATCACCTTTGCAATGATTTATGAGGAGTTGAATTGTTTGACATTTTGGTGGGAGACGCTGAATATAAAAACTTTGGTTTGTTCTCTTTGTTGCTTGACAGAAAGTTACCAATAATATTGATAACTGATCAAGTCAGGTATCAAGAAGAAATGTCTAAGTGTTGCTAGATCCAGGTTTTCAAATGTAAGTACTCGCTTGTTGTCTCTAAATTATAAAGTAAGCTAAATTACATACAAAAATAAAACTACGTATGACTGAGGTTTGGGCTGTTGGATGTAGGGCAGGAGAGTCAATTAAAGTTTAATGATAACCTCCAGAAATATTCTAAGACATAACAGTAATGATAAAATCTACCCCTCCACTGAAAAATAGAGATTATATAAATATTTAAACATTGTTCATTTAACAGCAGGTTAATGAGCTGTCTCCTACTTTACTCATTCTCAGTGTATGTGACCTGGACCTCCAGCAGATTCATTCATTTTACAAATAAATAAACAAAAATGTGGTCAAGTAAAAGTACTACATTAACTTTTCTACTTGAATATGAGTTAGTAACTACTTGCTTTTAAAGATACTTTAAGTATGAAAAGTAACAGTACATCATTCTCATCACGTCTCAACATCTTAGGTCATTCTTCTTCACCACTAATGCTGCTGCTGCAGGAGGCGGGGTCTAATGTTACCTGTCCCCTCTGATTGGATCAATGGTCCAACTTCCCTTATTGATTTCTTTAAAAAATACATCTAAACTAAGTGAACATGCAACACAATGCATTAACAACGCAGTGGAGTAAAAAAACACTTATTTACTTATATATGTAGTAAAGTAAGATTGAAAATACATCTATACAGATAAGGTAAGTACAGTAACTAAGTAAATGTAATTCGTTATGTGTCTGAACTTAAGTAAGGGAACAAGTATTAAACAGTTCTGAGCGGTGGGTGTACTTAATCACTACAAAAGCTTTTGTGTTTTAAATGTGGATTAAATTATGCCTTTAAAGAAAACAAGTTGCTGGTGTTTACATTGGTGTGTGTTGTCTTGTCATTCAGGGAAGTTACTGGTGTAAATCTACTATTGTTAAACAGAAAGTTACTACATTTTTCCACTAATGTTGTAACTTATTCTGTTTATAATCAGTAATCTCTCCTCACACAGGGTGAACACAGGTTTTAGTGGGGAATATTAAAACCATCACATCAGACTCATGGAGGAGCAGACCTTCTCTCAGCCTTTTAGTCGCCACCATCCCTTCAAACCTCAGTGCATTTGCAACATTTAATGATCATGCCCCGCTTTCCTGCAGACCCGCTGTGGTCCTTGGTGAAGTGAATAAATAAACAGATAGAAACCAGGAGGAGAACCCCCGTCACTTCGTCACTGACCCGCTGTGAGGAACCATGACGCACTTCCCTGTCGAGCAGACACGAGGGGCCGTGTGCACACGACCGCGGCGTCTCTGGCAGCCCGAGCACACGCTCTCAGAGACATGAGCTTTAACAGACCCTGCAGTCCTCCCGCCGGTGTGATGGTGTCTATCCTCTCTGAGCTGAGCTTCCCTGTTTACGTTCACATTGCCCACAGGGTGACACCATGTTGTTTTGACCAACGACGAACGACTTCCGCTCTGAAGAGTGTCCTCACTGAGGTTCGTGTGAAGGCTCCGCTGCCCCCTGGCGCCCGGAGGAACCCGGTTTGAAATGTATCTTCTCTGACATGACTTGATTTAGGTCTATTTACATTTACGTTGTTAGTGTTTACCCAGTGCTCCTGTCTTGACTGATACACAAAGACTGCACAAGGAGATTAGGCCTCAGTTTGTAAATCAGAAATGACAGATCGGGGTCTCAGTGACCACAAAGTGATTGCATAAGAGCAAAGATGGAAAGATATATAAAAAGAGAGTTAGATAATTCAATTTAGAGGAACTCTCAAGGAGAGGAGGTAATTCAGGAGGAAAAGGCTTCAGGTTTAGAAACCATTTTGTAAAATAATAATAATAATGTTAAACAAACTTAAGTACTTTTTATTTCACCGTACCTCTCTACACACTAAAGGATGCCTTACAATACGACATAGTCAAACACATGAACAATTTAGGTAAATTCAAACATTCAAGTCGGATTAGAAGATACAAACACCTATCAATAACAAGATTGATATGCACTGACATGTGCATTCATTTGTTAAATGTCACGATGCATCGTATTGCAGCCAATGCTGCGTTTTCCTCTCAGGACTCCATGGGAACCAGTTTGGGAACCACCTGTCTACAGCAGTGAAGATATTCAGGGGCTAAAATCAACCTATTGCCATTAGCTCATCACAACACCCGAACACATCTGCTTGATGTGAGCAACTCACAGTTTAAAATGGCTGAAAGTCCTCAAAAGGATGTTTTGGCTGGGTTGATTTCCTCCTGATTTCTTTGTGAGGGATGGTGAGCTTACAACCACGAATCAGATTGCACTGTGCAGACTTTTTCTTTCCCTCTCGTCCCTCGAGCACACACAGCAGAGCTTATCCCTGAGGGGGCTTGAAACTCTGTTGTGAAAATGCTGTTCAGGTTGTATCGAGCATGCAGATTATTCTCTCATGGTCACACCTTATAACTATTCAGCCCTGATTTACAATGACAAGCTCATATGACTTGAAAAGCATTAAGTCTGAGAGGTTAATCATCAGTCCAAAAGGACACAGTTTGCATATTGATTGATCACTGTAACATGTTGTTTTCATTCTGCACGGCAAAGACAGGCAGAGCAGATGTCTCCCCATAGTCCATCAAATATGCCGGCTGTTTGTTAGTCCTCGAGGACTTGCCCAGGGCGGAACAAACACCTCCACTGGGGAGGATGATGAAGGATATCAGGTAGCTCACAATCTGTCATCATCTAACTCTAAAAGCTCCGCAGCAATGGAAGGGCAACAAAAATGGAGCTTTTAGCAGACACTTACTGCCGAATTCCAATTGAACCAGAAACCAAAAGGATATTTTAGGATCAGTAATGTTTGAACTTTCTCTCTATCTGCCTCCCTCCCACTCTCTCCCTCTCAAATTCATTCAAGGCCTTTTCTCCCTTCGGGCTTTCCTCACATGGCCATTTCACGTGGGAGTGTATCAGAGTTCTTTCTATGACTGCATTAACTTTGGCCTTCAGAAAGAGCTCTCTCTACAAAAAAAGACAAAAAGGCTTCGCCTGCAGACCATTTAATCATAAGCTGTAGCCCACTTTGCCATTTGAAGTGCACTTGCCAGTGAGATTCAACATGGTGTTATGGAGGACCTCTTTGTGTGTGCTGCAGTTCAGTGTGGTAATCAATCATGTTTGGTTTAATTCAAACAGAACACAATGTATTGATAGAGAATCAGTCAAATCTCCCTGAATATGCAGATTTCTTTTCTCTGCAGGTGATGTCAGAGTACCTCCTCTCTTGTTGATTTGCTAATAGTTGGAATTAGACATGCAGGAAACTGGCAGCTTCTCCACTAATAAGAAGACCTTGCTGTTCACGAGGAATAACAAAGTCTGTGGAATAAGAAGCACGAGCAATGGGGCATGTCAACAGGGAGCAGAGGTGGGGGGAAAAAAACAATCTGTCAGTGCGTCAGAGCATCCATCACTCCATCACTGCTGATTGCTGCGAGAGGCGAGATGCTGCACAGCTGGGTGACTGTCTATAAAACAGCTGAAACTTATTTCATGCTGAGAAGTCCCAACACAGATATGTTATTTGTGAAATATCCCACAGATTAATGAATGGATGGATGAAATTTTAACATCTGGTAAATGAGAAAGTGGTGAGATTTTAACAGTTCCGTGATGCCCTGAAGGTCCCACAAGGTCCCTCAATTCAGCAATCACTCCTCTATATGTTCTTGTTCAGGCTGCTTTTTAAAAGAGGTGATTTAGCTCCTAAACTACCCATATAGGTCACACTGATGCTCTGATTGTACAATCTCTCTCTCAGTGGGGGAGATGAAGGGGGAAAAAAAACTTGTATTCATTCTAGCCTTGCAATCGATGGGACTTGTCTGTGAAGTGGATCAATAATGCCTCCCTTTGAAATCATCAATCACGTCAGTGGTGAATTTAAAAAGCGTAATTAGGAACAGCGTTCTTAAACATCCTGTATTGACATCTTCTTTGGTATGGAGAAAGACACCATTCTGCATCATTAACTTTGTATTATTGCCTGATGGTGCCTACTGCTGCTAGTTCCCCACCTGCTGAACTCAGAGCGTTGTGTGTGATTGGGCTTTCAGACCAAATTCTCCTCTCTTTCACTCGCTGATAGGGGAAGTGAACCTTGCAGGTCTAAATTGGCTGGAGTATTTTAATAGGCCCGGTCAAAACTGGAACCCAGGATATGGAGTTATCCTTCACTGTGCTGTATTTCAGAAGTGTTTTCAGAGTTGAACATGTGTAATCTTCTACCTAATCATTCTTTTTTGATTGCTTTTGTGCAGCTTCTGACTTGACATTATTTGTCCATGAGCTAACATTCACAAGCATTCCCGTAACTTGCCACAGTCTTCTGTGTTGTCCATCTGTCTCGCTCTGGTAATAAAACGTTATCAATACTGTGGAGAGGGCAGGTGGGCGATTGTAATGGAGTAATTTATTTTAGTTGTCACAGAAATATAAGTCTTTGATTAGGGAGCCATACACATCAGGCTGCACAAATAGAACCTTTCATCAAATCACAAAGCATGTGACACTATTGACCGTGAAGTCTTCTACCCGGGATTAATCTTCCCCACAAGATGCATAATACAGTATGTGAAGAGCACAATGACACAAAAATGCAAGCACAATGCAACTCAAGGAAAATAGTGTGCCTGTGTATCTAATGACTATTATATCTGTACCAGTGAGAAGCATAAACAATCTGTTTTTTCAAAGGCAAACTGGACTTGATTCAAGAAATATTGATTACCAATATCAAATTGACAAACTGGGGGTGTTGGGTATTTGAGATCGAGACTTGAAAGCTTAGTTTTTTCCATAATCAATCTGTTCACCCATATTACCAATATAGCTTACATACCCCTATTTTTATGTTGACACACTAATAGGATTGTATTAATTGCTAAGGATCCAAAACCATAGCTAACACTGCAGTACAATGAAGATAAATTCAGTGTTGTCTGTGGCATCACACCTTCCTGACAACACAGTGAACTAATTGACTTAGGCTCCATGTTGTGGTGTATATATGATTTTTGCAATCTGGTTAAATGTTTTGTAGGTTAAATCTTAATTTCTAAAGCAATTACAGATGACAAATGCACACACAGTATTCCCCTTTGAGCTATAGTTAAATTTCAATTTGCATTAAATCAAATATAGTATTTAACTGAGGGATAGTTTAGCTTCTTGGGTTAGCTTTGACTACTGGTCACATTTCATGCAAATCATTTTTATTTGTATAGCGCCAAATCATAATATACTCTATCTCAATGCACTTTACATAGAAGGTCAAGACTTAGACTTATTTTAGAGAAACCTAACAATGAGCAAGCATTACACCATCAGCATATAAAACATTATTGTGGTTTGCATTGAATGGCTTTTCCCACAGAGCTTTTCAACCAACCCTGAACATTTTTTTTTACATGTAATACCATTACTTGTACCACTACTACTACTATTCAATCCAGTTTAATTCAATTTTATTTGTATATCACCAAATCATAACAGACATTATCTCAAGGCACTGAAACTATTAAGGTCCAGGAATTAGGAATTGTACAGAAACCACAATGAGTAAGCACTTCGGCAACTGTGGGAACTACCACTAGTACGACTGCTGCCACTATTACTACTACTACTAGTACGACTGCTGCCACTATTACTACTACTACTAGTACTACTGCTGCTACTACTACTACTACTAATACTACTACTACTACTACTACTACCGCTATATTTGACTATATCCCGCTGCGATGGATAATAATAATAATAATAATAATAATAGTAATAATAATAATAATAATAATAATACATATGTAGCACGCAAAAAAGGTATAGATTTCTTTATGACTCAACACTAAACAGCAGTCACTGTGATTTAATATTTAATATTTGAATCTGTTTCACCTCCCTCTCTTACAAATATTTAACCGTCCAATCAGATCTCTCGCTGACTGTCCCTTTAAATCGCTCGCCGGCCCCGCGCAGCGCGCAGCACAGTCTGGAACCGTCCCGGTCAGAGCGCATGCGCGGAAAGTTGCTGCCGCAGACAGCAGCAGTGATTCGGCAGCGCAGGGCAACGGGAGAAAATCAGTCCGTTTTTAAACCATGGCGACGCACTAAACGATGCCTTCCGCAGCGGAGAACGGAGAGTAAGTAGACGCATGTTAATAACCCGCCCGTCGCCCGGTGCTGTGTGACATCCTCTCAAACGGCGACATTAATGTCGGGAAAGGTTGAGGAGGCAACAATGGGACTGTGTATGTTTCAGACTGGCTAGGTTAGCTAGCCGGGAGCCTGGGCAGTCAGCTGGCACACTGGCAACATGCAGGTTTACAGCCGCCACACTGCTCCTCTGTACTGCCTCTGTCTGTGCCTGTCTCCTGTGAGTCAACATTATTTTATTCGGGCGCTAAATGAGCCACACTCATGTTAAAAGCTGTTGTCAACTGAATGAAACTGCTCTTGTGTTGCTGAC